ACTAGACACTCAAACAGAAATAAGCAAATCTGACCTCAACTTTTCAAAATGTCAGGAAAAAAAAGGTTCAGAATTAAAAGTGTTCATGACAAAATAAGCTTAAAGGTTTAGATAAACTCATTTACATGAGTACACCCAGGTTTTAGATGACAGAATGACTAGCCATTACAGGTGGTGTAGGCTGTCCAGTGAAGACAATTAAAGCACACTGGAATTTGTACGGAAAGAGTAGTGAAGTGTTTTATAAACGGACTCCATATGGCACTCCCAAAATTCAAGCAGCTCTTACTGCTAAATTGAAACTGAGCAAAATAATAGCAAACTCAAGCCAGGGTATGTTTTGATGTTTCATTCAGAGAAACAAATTCAAGAATGCTTCCCCTTCTATTTCACGAGGCAGTGCAGCTATTAAATTAGATGTTTCATTCAGAGAAACAAATTCAATGCTGCTTCCCCTTCTATTTCACGAGGCAGTGCTATTAAATTAGTTTAGTTTGTAACATTACCTCCATGCAACAAAAAAAAAAAAAAAAAAAGGAAAAAAGAAAAACCCCCTTCTTCCATAAAAAAGGAAAAATTACCTATAACTGGGCTGTCAATGTAGCACTCTATATTTCCCCAGGATTCAGTCTTACCCATGAAATAAAATAGTAATGCTCTTTTAAACTCCAGCAGTTACTAAAATAACAAAGGTGGGATTATAAGCAAAGACAGCTTTCAGCTTGATCCTGACCTTAAAATATAAAATACCTCAGCTTGTCAAAATAAGATTGCACCTTTGAAAGATATGAGACTTGCATAAATGGACAAACACCTTAGGAGAAGACTTTTAATGCTAGGATTAATTTATTAACTACCAGCACTACTCTATTAACTGCAGAGATATATTGATCCCGAAGTCCTGTTTTCAAAAGGAAACATACCCACCCTGACCCCATTCAAAATGTCTCACCAAATCGCATCAGTCAAACTAACATGTCTGTTCAAGAGCTGCTCACAATCCTTAAAATGAAGGTCCAGGCAGTTAACTTCCACATCGTGCTCCCTGGCAGGTAAGCTCGTACCCCCCCCCATTGATGGACTAGTTCAGTTCCCAGCCGCAACTTTCCCATTTCTTACTGCATCTGAGACCTCCAGTGAGTCCAAGACACAAAACTAACCTGGCGTGTCTTATCAACAATGCACAGGAAAAAAACCGAAGGAGCTAATCGAGTTACAATATGGTGAGGTATAATGAAAAAATATATAATGCAGATGGGATTTAATAGGAAAAAGAATATACGTATCATTAGGCAAAGATGAGGTCTCTAGGAAACTGAAGGAACATTGAGAGAAGTTTTTCATCCTGGAATAATGAAAGGTCAGCTTGGTGTCCTGCTTGCTAAAGGGTAGAGACTTTCTCATGAAACTGTAAGTACTAAAGAAGATAAATGCTCTTCCCTTGATCAGTGGATTTGAAAATTCACCATCAGGGATTTTAGAGCAACAGATGGCACATCTGTCCCTGAATTTCTTTGTTATTTTCCTGCCCTGCAAGAACATCGTGACAGTTTTGCAGCTACGTACTGTACATTTTGAAATATAATTTAGACGAACTTCGCAATTACGAGATTGTCTCCACTTCTCCTGGAGAACTTCATATTTTGAGTGTGAGGATAATTTCACAGTAACTCACGTTTCTTCAAATTAAGATTCCTCAGGGTCACACAATAAAATGGTCCCTCTAACTTAACTAGCCAACTATTTTGAAATTAAGAGAACAAAGTTCACCTGGGGATAAATCAGTGGTTAACGGCCATGTGGATGCACCTATATAATCAAACTTCTCTCCTCCGTTTTCCCACGTTGCTTTGCATCTGAACTGCGTACGCCGTGCCATTTCGAACACAAATTGCCTGGATGTTACCTCCTTGTTGAAAGGCTGGCAGGCAGCCACGGGGCCCCATGTGTGACTACGTACTCCTGGAACTGCACACCCTGCACTCCAGCAATATTACAGCAGTCGTGTCTCGTGCATTTGTACGGAGCCACGCAGAGGTCACGGACTTTGCAATCTGGGAAGAGGAGACTGCTTAGTCCTGCCTCAACAACAGCCGTGATGATGTGAAGATACGCAGATGTATATATCAAAGCGATGCTGAGAGGGGTCACTCTGGGAACACTGCTCAAAGCTGCAGCAAACGAAGGGGCTCTGGCACAATTATTTAAAAACAAACCTCTGGAAAGAAGCGGAATCCTGGCAACGCTCCAAGTACCTTTCCGAAGTACCTCTGAGCGCCAGATGGACTTTCTCCAGCAAAGCCACCGATTATGTATAACGCAGACAAAAGGCACAGAGGAGTCCGTGGTCCTTAACCAGGGCTCTAGTGAGAGCAAGCTTCCTTCCCCCATACCGGAGTCCAAACCAGGACCTGGAGAACAGAAAGCTCTTTCACCCCTGCACGCACGCACGCGGAGTGGAAGCGTCTCGCCAGTCCTACGCAAGTCACTGTGGGGCTGCAGCGGTTTCAAATAAAAATACTGTGATGGAGGTATGTTTATGGAAACATCAAGTACAGAAAAGAAAGGCAATGTAAAACATACTTTGCTTTTTATAAGGCATATTTAGCATTTTATAAGGTATACTTTCCCAAGTGAGGAATGGAAAATTGCAAAGACATTGAAAGCACTCAGCCAGGCTCGGTGTTATTAAACCTTGGTTCAGTACAGTCACTCCAAAGCACTGCTCACTGCACAGTGCATTCTGTGTGCGTCTGCAAGTAACAGACAAAGATCTTAAGACAAGAATGATGCTCTCTTTTGGCATGAAAATTGCAGCCTTTTATCAGTATTGCAGATGTAAGTAATTTTTCCCTTCCCATCTGCGGCAACCCTGGCAGATTGTGCTCGTGAGTAGCGTCATTGAATCATTTGCTGCTTTGTCTCTTTCCTTTCTGAATAAGCCCGTTACTGCTTCTTGGTGGCTTACATCAGACTAACATCTTCCACACAGGAGGTGGGTGTGCGAAAGTGCAAAGGTGCACATGCCTGTTTCCTGCAATCTCCTATTTCCCAGCCTGTGCCTAAACCCCAGGATAACTGTTCCACAGCTTCACCCTGATTAATCTTACAAGTTCTCAACTTTTCACCTTGAATCTTCCTTACTGCAGTTTAAGCCACACTACCTCTTATGTGATACTTTCTCCACGGCTGGAGAACTGCAACAGCCTTTTACAAAGTATTTGAAGACTACTATTATGTCTCTCCTTCAGCCTTCTCTAGGCTCAGACTATTTGCAAATTTGCAGGAGTTGACACTACTGCAATGCTCTGAAATGATGTTTCTCACACAGAAGTCAGGCCGTCTCTAAGAGGCATTTTAAAGAAAATTGCACTGCATGTATCAGAAGGCAACATGGGATGCTTGTCCAGCACTCTAAATGCTTCTTCTGGGAGAACACTGGCAGTGGTGTTCTGCAGAGGCACACGCAAGAAAGCAGACAGCATAATTATTTCAAACCAGTTACTATTCAGCAATGCAAACAATGACTAAATCTCCAAATTCAGGATTAAAGCTGAAAGATCCTGCTCTGCAGCAACTAAAAATGCAAAATGACATTAGGAAAACCATAAATACTTCCCAGAACATAAAGTCATGTTCATAATTTTTGTATCTGCAACTGAAATGTAGTATCTTACGTCAACTCAGTAGAAGAACTTTGCTCAAAATCAGTTTATCACAGAATCATGCAATTTACTTCTCCCTTGAGAATCTGAATACAGCAGAGGCCACTATTTTCCAGTTTTTAAAAGCACTTTATTTTAGTCTAACCTATTACATACATTTCTAAAGTGTCTTATCACTTCAGTTTCTTGGCATGCTTTAGATAATATTCACAAGTTAAAGAATAACATATTGCACTCCCCATCCCACATGCCAAAATCTTAGCTTTTGTGGATTCCTAAATGTGAGCTACCATCTTGGGTAACTTTGGGGGTGCAATTCCACAAGCACAAAGTCTGATTGTACGAAGTGTTACGTGACACCCAAGAAATGTTGAGCATCTTTGTGTTCCATTGAATTAAACTGAGTGTACTTTGAAGGGTAGGACACATAACTAGGAGAAAGCCTGAATAAAATTCTACTTCGCATTAAAGGTTTATAGAAGTGAAACTCGTCTCTAGTGGGGTATACGCTGATAACTGATACACTAAGGCCCAAAGTCCCTTTTACCAGTTATTGCTGAACGCAGCTATGTGTTCGTAGCTGCGGACAGCCCCAGCTTGCTGGAAAACTCTTTCCACATAGCACCTAGAGGTGAATCAAAGGTGAAAACCGGTATAAGGGCCGATTTTTCAGTCACTGGAACTTCCTCTCCAGACCTTTCAGACCTAAAACAGACACAGGAAATGGTGTTTAAGATAAACGCGAAGACAACTCTTCCTCAAGCCATCCTGAATCAGGCGCACCGGCTGGGTCAATGTCAGTACGCTGAAGAGACCTTCATAGGCAACCCGATCCTACCCTACTCATGCAAATCCCGCGTGTAAAAGCTAAAGGACGCGGGTGCCTCTTCCCTCCCAAGGCCACTCCCCGCTCAAGCACGCCACGCCGACCCCCACAGCTACAGGCCACCCGCGGCCTGGCGGCGG